GTTAGATGCTATGGGAATAGTCCCAGATGAGAAATAATCAAGGCTTAACATGGCGTGGCAGATGTAGAAATAAATACAAAATACACCTGTGTTCAGCATGTCTATTTATTTTTTGCATTTTGATGCTTTGACATCAAAGAACTTGCTGACCCTGGAGGGACTGCCCCTCCCAAGGCTAATCTATTCCTGAACATAGTAAGGGACTCACCTGCCAGCACCCTTTCGTATGCAAACCAACCAATCCAGAGCCTAAACCCTTAACCAACTCCTTTTATTGGGCTCTCTCAGAGATCTCACTTTCTGGGCCACTATCCATCTGCCCTAATCACCCTTGGAACAGGAACCAGACAACTAGAGATAGTCCCTACGACCAGAGCCTTTTGAAATTATCCAAATGAGCCAATTCTAAACCTGCTTATTCTGCTTTGTCTGTTCCTCCCATGGAAACCACAATAAAGGTGCTTGCCCATGTTTTCCTCCAGCTTGTTCTACCTCCTGACTGGCCCTTCTGCTTTCCCAGTTGGCCTCCTGTGTAGTGTGGCATGCCATGCCTCCTGTTCCTATGGATCCATGAGTATTTAAAAAAGCTTCTCCCCTCATAACAGTCATTTCCATGTCTATAAAACATATCTCAAGTACCCTTAAAAGATAGCAGACACAGAACTGATAGGACTTACATAACAATGCCACTTAAACTTTAAATTTCAAAGAACTTCCACCTATATTTTCTAATTCAATTCTTAAAATAACTTGTAAGATACTTAATAGTCATATTTTACAAGTAAGAAAGCTTAAACTCAAAAGTCAATTTAAATGCTCAAACTCGTCCAATAATTCACAGGCTATTAATCTGTTTGTACATTAAAGTTAATAATAGTATGTATCTTGTAGAGTTAAGGTGATGATTAAATTAGTCCTTACTTCTAAGTAAAGTTAGAAGTAAGAAGTTAAACTGTAGACACGTCATGTTAGGTATCAGTGGTATCTTGGTGGAGCTGTCTGGTGGCAGTTGAAAATGCAAGAGTAAAGTAAATTTCAAGGAACAGAAGTAAGAGCTAGAGATTCAGATTTGAGAATTTTTGCATGGAGATGATAATAAATGAACAGAGTCCCCAAATAAAAACCTAAAGGCACAAAGGGAAGGTAACAGAGCTAAAGGAAGAACCTGGAGATGGTAAAAGAAATCAGAAAATAGGCATTGACTTTTGACTTGTGACTTTTGAAACCTTTTGGTCACTCATTATTGACCTTTGAATAGTTTCTGTACAGAAATAGAGACAACAGACTGCAAGGGTTAAAGAGTGAACACAGACGTTTCTGGTCCAACATGTAAAGACCACAAAAGTCACTAATGTTATTTTTATCACAAGAAAAAGGCTTAGCAAACTGAAAATCAACACGTCTTTTTAGATCCATCAGATCAGTTTATAGACAAACCACTGGCCAGAAAGCTGGACAAGCAGGAGAAAACAGGCAAGCTGGAGAAATCACAACTTACTGGGTACAGACCCTCCAACTGGGGCCAGGGAATGGTAGGAAACCTTAAAGGGTAATTGACTAATTGCAGGAGACTGAGTGTAAACTAATTTGAAAGATAAAAACTCCCAGGGCCCGGGGCGCCTGGGTGGCTCAGTCATTAAGCGTCTGCGTTCGGCTCAGGTCATGATCCCAGGACCCTGGGATCGAGCCCTATACTGGGCTCCCTGCTCAGCGGGAAGCCTGCTTCTCCCTCTCCCACCCCCCCTGCTTGTGTTCCTGCTCTCGCTCTGTCTCTCTCTGTCAAATAAATAAATAAAATCTTTAAAAACAAAAACCAAAAAACTCCCAGGCCCCAGCCTCATAGAGGCCTACTATGACACCCATCAGGCTCTCGGGAAGAAGATCAAAGAAAAACGCCCTCATAATTCCAGCAGGGGGATAGGGCATGACCATTCTAAAATACACCCAGAATGTTCAGCTTTTCTTAACAAAGGTCTACCCTCAAGGAAAATTATTTTAGCAGAGCCTCATCAACATGTGGGAAGGGAAATACCCAACTCCAAGTCCCTCTAGACCTCTTGTTTCACCCAAGGAAAAAAATCTGAGAAACACTTATGAAGGTCACAGCCCAGGGTCAAAGCTCCACTAAAAGACTAAGACCTAATTACAGGATTATGGAACACTTCTCCTACCAACATCTTACCACCACACCACCAGGTCTCCAGTAAAATAACAGGGGATTGAAATGGGAAGAACTACAAAGCTCAGACTCCATGACGGAGTCTCTAGGGGAACCTAAAAAAAGAGACAAAAACAAGGACACTAGAGGAAATTGAAGCCTCATAAACCTACTGCTACAGCAAACACAGCCTAATTCCTAGCCAGATAAACACAAAACCTCACACTAAGGGCTTATTTACCTCAATTCATATTACCTGATGCAACATGTTCAGCTTTCAACAGAAAATTACAAAGCATATCAACGGGCAAAAAACAAGTCTGAAGAAACAAAGCAAGCATTAGAGCAGACTAAGATATGGCAGAAATTTTGAAATTGTCAAGATTGGGAAATAAAATAATTATGAGTAAGGTAAGTATGGTAAGGACTCTAATGGAAAAAAGTGGATAGATAACATGAAAACTCTAAGGAAGAATCAAAAGGAAATGAATGAACATGTAAAAAGTAGAATAGAGGAACTGGGCAGAGAAGTGGGATCAATGCATTGCAGAAAAGAGTGGTGGTTTTTACCACAATGGGAGATTGTTAAGCTAGTGGGAAAGAGCTAATACAGGAAAAATTAGAGAAAGTGGAAAATTGATAAACACATGTTTTATGGGATCCTTTCTGAGATCAGCATTAAGTCTTAAAAGGAGGAAGATGAGAAATAACATATTAGGTAAAATCAATGGTTGTAAACGTTGAAGTCTGTGAAATTTTGCTTTAACTGGATAACATGGCTATCTCAAAATGTGAAGGTTATACTACTTCCCATCTCCCACCTGATTCTTTCCTCAAGAGGTAATCTCTTAGGAATTTGTCATTATTTAAGAAATTCCCAAGAGAATTCAGGAATTCAACTTAATTTTACTTTGAGATTTCCATACCTACAAGTAAAAACAAAAACCAAACAGGATGCACAGTAACCAATATCACTGAAGTACATTACTCATTCGTTCAGTCAGCAAATATTGAGTGCCTTCTTCATTCAAGGCAATAAGAGTGAACAAAACAAAAATGTCTGCCCCATGGAATACCATAGTTTGGGTGAAGATGCACTGATGAACATGTATATTATACATCGGGTAGGGATAAGTTTTATGGATAAGCTGAAACCAAGGTTGAGGAACTGGAAGTGCTGGGAATTAGAAGTATTATTTTATGAGGGGTGGTTAGAGAAGGACTTTTTGATAAGATGACATCTAAAGGAAATAAGTGAGTCATGACACTATCTGGGGGTGCCATATTCCAAAGAACAGCAAATACAAACAAAAAACAAAAACAAAAAAAACCCCCAAAACCCTGCAAATGCATAAGCCTTAGAGTGGGAAAATAATGTGCCTGATGTTGTTGTGGAACAATGAGCCAAAGGGAAGAGTCCAAGGTGAGATCCTATGGGACTCTGTAATGATGTGAAATTTTAGTCTGAGTGAAATGGGAAAAACTGGAGGGTTTTGAGAAGAGCACAGTGACTACCATGTGTAGGGTGTTAGTAAGGCCATCTAGGTGGTTACTGTAATGTTACAGGGACTTCTATTAGAGCGGTAGTTTCAATTTATTTTGCAGGTAGAAATGACAGAATCTGCTGATGGAGTGGGGCATTAGAGAAGTCAAGGGAAACAACAAGGTTTTTTTTACTGGGTAACTGGAAGAGCAGAAATTGTCATTTACTGAAATGGCAAAGACTGCAGAGTAGGTAAGAGGGAGAAATTAGTTTAGTTTTGCATATGAATTTTGAGATGTCTATTAACTTCTAAGTGCAGATGTTGATTTTATTAAAGTCTGGTTTTTGGAAGAGGTGCTGGCTAGAGATATAAACTTGTGAATCATAAGCATATAGGTGATTTTTAAAGGCATAAGACAATAGTGAAGAAAAGGCGTTTAAAGACTGACCCCAGCAACACTCCAATATTTAGATATGGGAAAGAAGAAAAAGTACCAGCAAAGTATTTTGAAAAGAAGTAGCCATAAAACAAGGAGAGAACTAGGGAGGAGTGGTGTCCCAGAAACCAAATGAAGTGATTCAAAATTCGAGAAGTAGAAGGGTTAAGAAGAAACTGAGAAATGGCCATTGCATTTCAATGGACGCCTATTGCTGACCTTCACAAAAACTATTTTGGTGGAGTGGTAGAATGGAAAAAAGACGCTGAGAACCATATTCAAGAAAGAATGTATGGTTCTCTCCCAAGAACTTTCAACAAGTTCTGTTAAAGAAAGATTAGCTCAGCTGGAGATTGGAGGAAAGATGTTGAAGGTCTGAGAAGAGAGAACAAAAGTGGCCTGGAAGTGTGGGAGAGTGGATTAATGAGGAATCTTTAGTGCAGTTGCTGGGCATTACTAAGGGACCATTTGTTATAAGCAAAACAAGTCCACAGAGCTGTGTGCTCTTCTCCAGCCTCTCGTTCAAGTGTTGCAGAAACGGCAGAACGTCGCGAGCAGTAATGGGTTTTAAGGCACGATGGCATGAGGAGGCAGAATAAACTTCGATTACGGAGCATAGTCAAATTCAGTCTGGTGGCTCACTGAACCTGAGGATTGAAAGGGGCAACAAGCATGACGCGGCTGACCGGAAAAACAACTCCAGAGTGTTAAGGAGGAAGAGCGGCTCTAAACAAAGCCGATCTTTTCCCGTAGAGCAAACACAGCAGTTTGGGGGTTGAAAAAGTCTGCACTAGGCCAAGTTAGGGGACACTGCCGCATGAGAGCTTCGAGGGCTGGCTGAACCCAGACGCAGAGACAGGATCTAAAAGGGCTTCCTCCGGGACCCAGGAGGATGGACTAAGGTTTTAGCGCCGGAACTTACAACCAGAGGTTCTGCTGCTTGCGGCTGTTTACTGGAGAGATGGGCATGGTGGCGACAGGCTGTGGAGTGGTCGGCCACCCCCTTCCCTAGCTGCTTCTGGCGTGCCTGTACCCCAACCCCCGGCGTTAGCGGCTCCGGCTGAGGCTCGGGAATGTTTGCCGGGCGTCATGGAGACGGAGGAGCCCGGGCTCAACAAGCGGCCGCGCGGTTGGCTGGCGGCTGGAGACCGAGGAGGAGGGCGGAGGCGGAGGGGAGGGCAGAGGGTTGGTGGAGCAAAAGGAAGCTCCGGACGACGACTAAAAAAAGGAGGCGGGCGGCCAGGGCCCCAGGCCCCTCCCAGGTTCTGAGTCTCCCCGGCTGCAGGCGGATGGATGGGGCTTCTTCAGGCGGTGGCGGCAGCAGTGAAGGTGGCGGCGGCAGCAGCGGCAGCGGCTGTAAGTGCAGCCTCCATAAACCATCTCTCCTCTCCTAGTCCTGATTGGGATGAAGGGCTCCTAAAGTGTCCTCGGTCCCCTTTCTCTCTTTCCCCTCCCCCACGGTAGAGCACCGCCCGGAAGACCCTTAACTTCCGGGGAGGGGCTGCAAGAGAACGCGCCCGGCCCGCTCCCCCCTCCCGGAGAGCGCCCGCCACCCCCCCCAAGGCGCATGCGCAGCTGTCCTCCACCGCGCACCCCCTCCGAGCCCGGTCTTTTGCTTTGGCTGTGGCGGCGGCGCCGCTCTTCCCTGGCGTCGCGGCGCGCCGGGAATCCGCTGCGGTGTGAGTTCGTCTCGCCCGGTTCGCTTCCGCACCTTTCTCCTTTCGGCCCCCGAATCCGGTCGGGGTGGGGCTAAGCTGACCATCCCCCTGTGGCTCCGCCTCTTTTTCCCTCTAGATCCGGGTTCGGTCCCAGCCCTCGGGAGACTCCTGCTCGCACCGCAGTCCCCGTGGTGAGCGGGGTCCTGGGCGAGCCGGCCCTTTTCGGAGGGAGTGAGGGAGGGAAGAGAGACTGGAAGAGGGCATTAATATGAAGGAATGAGGTCCTCCCGGTCCGTGGGAAGATCCCTGGGGACAGATGCCTCCCCCTCCTTGAAATGGCCTTGTTCTTGCAGCTTTTCGTGGAAAGATCTCTGGCTTGGAGCCCATCTCTGGTCCCTGTTTGCTATGTGACCTTGGGCGAGTCACTACCCTTCTCCGGGCCCCTGTTAGTCCTAAAGCTTCCTCCAACGCTATAACTCTTAATTTTGCAGAAAAGCTTATGCAGTTACAAGACTGGCCCGTCTACTGAGGCCGCTTAGCCCAGATGACGTGGAGTTGACTCTTCAATCATGGATGGAATGAGGCGACCTATGTATTGGGTCGTTTTTATTACTTTACCATTGGTTTCAAATTGCATGTCTCAAGGCTCATTAATGTTTTCATAAAATTGTCATGGGATCCTTGTCCTAATTTCTGGCCATCTTTTTTAAAATTAGAGACAGGCTGAGAATTAGAGACATGGTGAGCTTGTGGTATCATCATCTCTGGTCTCGTAACTACTGAGGCTTTCTTTCCTTTGATCCAGATGGTGTGGTGGCTCGATTCTCCCAGTGCCTGGCTGAGTTTCGGACGTGGTTAAGAACCAACTGGTTGAGGTTCAATGCAGACAAGACGGATGTGATGCTGGTAGGCAAGGGCACACTTGGAGATTAAGGGAGGGAAAAGCCAAACTCCCTCAAGTAATATAAATATTACATTACTCTTTCTGTATATTCCAGTGTTTGAGAACTGATGATGGGCCAATAATGTCCAGAGTTTGGGTGAGATAAAAATAACCTGTCAACAGTATTAGGACTATAAAAATAACAGTTTGTTATAATCTGATAAAACGGGGCCACTCGATAAAACTCTTTATGTAAAAATTATGAAAAAAACCAAACTGTTTTTTGAAGAACCAAAAGGCTGTGTAAGTGTTTTGGGGTGGCATTAATAATAAAAACCAAACTAACAAAAAGATGATGCTGATTCTTGCATAGATGTGGGGCTTCTGAATGTGATGCATTACTGCTTTGTAACCTGCATTCTGCCTACTAAAGTAAAGGTAAACTCTCAGTTTGTCAAAAACATCCTTTTTAAGTTTTTTGGTATTTAGGTATTTTCAACCAAATTAGTAGATATTCATCAATTTTTACCTGCACATCATGTGTAGGTTGACACTTCCAAATAAAAATTTTAGTAAATAGTTTACCAAATAATCTCAAAAGGGACTCATGGACTCTGAAAATAGCTAGGTAGAGAATTTGTTTTTAGGGTTTCGAATGTGCTGCATTAATCTGTTTCATTCAAACAGCCCTAGAGTCTAAATTGTTAAAATATTTTCTTGGAGCATTTTGAGAGGTTCCTGAACTGCATAACATTTTGTTTATGTAGTATAGGTATATAGTACTTACATTTGAGTCAGGTATTGGTACTGAATAAAAGGTTATATTTCTTAGGTATATAAATTACCAAAGACTTTTATTTATTGGTTAGTTTAAGGTACTGGTTGAAGTAAAATTGTGACCTTAAAATGTTTTTCTTAAAAGCAAAATAACGGAGGGGGGTGTGTGTGTGTGTGTGTGTGTATGTTTATTATAGCCTCTATAAAAATGTTTAATAACTTTTTAATGGAGTATTTAGTAAATTGCTTAAAAATAATTTCCCAATATAACAGCAGTTTTGAGAAGCTTAAATGTGGTGAAAGTTAATGTTAGTTTGCCTGAAAATAAGGAAGCATTTAGGTGGGGAATGGGAGCTCAAGAGGCATTTATTCAGACTTTGTATAGTGATTTTTTTGTTTTGGGACATTAGCCACAAACCTCACATAAAATTAAAATTACACTTTTTAGTTTAACTTTAAATATTTTACTATACAATTCTAACAATACCATTTTGGAGATCACATTAATAAATACCATAAACTAATGATTTTAAACAGCTTATAGGTATTGGTGAATTTTCTCATACCTTTAACTCTGTCATGTCTTGTTTTTAGGTCTTCTAGTATCAGTAGGCATTAAAGATTTATATTTTGTTAACCCAAGTATAAATAACGATTGTTTGCACTTAAATACAAAGAAAACATCTGTTGAATTAATCCAAAGTGCTGAAAAACTCAGGGAAATGGAAGGAGATAGATTCCGGTTTAATAAAAAGGAGAATGTTCCAAACATACAGCTTTTTCTGAAAAGAGCAGCCTCTTCATCAGACAGTAAGTCATTGGAGGTGTTTTAGGATAGGCGGAAAAGCCTGGTAGTGGGGACACATAATAAGGGATTCCTACCTAGACAGGGTAGAAATTGACTAAAAGACCTCTAAGGTCCCATCTAACACTAAGATTCTGTGGCTAATGAATAGTTAATTTTTTACATATTTGATACTGAACAGGTAAGCAAGAGTTTCTGAGAAAGACTGCTTTCCTTAAGGTGGCTTCTAAAATTTTGAAAGACAAGTATATCATGAGAATAAAATGGGAATAAAACCATACTGAATTCATTAGTAATGTGTTACTAATGACTTACAATATTGGAGCTATTTCTCTTTATTTTCAGAATATCTGAACTTAAAAAAAAGCACTGAGCCCACATTTATTAAAAAAGGGAGGAAAAAATGTAGAGGGAATTTTTCCCCCAAATGATATTGCCACTTAAAATTAGTAAAAATGATACACAATATTAATAAACTTAAAAGTCATTTATCAATAAGAGGAAGACACATTCAAGTATGTCCCAGATTTGATTTTCCTGACAATTTCAGAATTCATTCAGTAGCTTAAGGGACCACGATCCCCAGCTTTTTAATCACAATTGGGATTTTTTGTTGAGGTTTAACTGAAGAATCAAAGAGTAAATGGGTTTAAGCAAGCAAGTTATTCCTGTACCTTGCATTTTCACAACGCTTTTTAATTTTCTTTTTGTGAACTAGCTAAACTTCATGTATTAGCTTTGGTAGTTAAATGGAAAATCCTCCTTTATCCCCACGGTATTATGAAGCCTGAGTTTCTACCTCTAGGCCCCTTATTCTGTCTTTACCCACCCCAGGTCTATGCACATCAATTGTTCTTTGCCTTCAGCTGTTTTCCATCAAGCACCTCAAAGTCAAAACTAAACACAAGCTGACTTCTCAGAAAATGATTTTTGAGTCCAAAGGACTAAGGTAATTCAATAGGGTAACTCTGTGTACCTATACTAAAATACTTATTCCCCCAAGAAATCCTGAAAAACACTTTTATAGTATAAGTATTCTAAAAAAATAAAATGAAAATACTGTACAGTACAGTTAATGGTAAAAATTGTTTGTAGATTTGGGAACCTTAAAGTTTTCCTTTCTCTTCTTTCCCTTGCTTTTCTTTCAGTAGAAAATGTGCATCAGATGTTTATGTTTAATTGGTTTACAGACTGTCTGTGGACTCTTTTCCTGTCAAATTACCAGGTAATGTCCTTTCACTTAGCAGCTACTTCATATACCTATAAATGCACAAATTATTCATGCACAAATTATTATTGGACATAAGAATTTCAAACTAATGTTGAATCTTTGGAAAAAGGAAACTGCTTAATAGAGTCTAGAATTTTAAGGGAATACAAATAATTTAAGAAAGCAGCCCATATTGCATTGTAAGTTAAGTATTAAAGAAAAATTGTATATGTGCACATTTACGCAGTATTTTGTAGTGCCGGCATTACATTATTTGGAAGGAATTACTTTTTATATTTGACTGGTTGATTTGGGTAATCAGTTTTGAAATTGCATTAAGAACCCGTGAACATTTGGGGGGAAAACGGTCTTTTTGAAATTAAGATTTTTAAACTGGTTTAGTAAAGTATGTTACTGCATGTTTCAATATCACCTTTGCAATAGCCAGTATCTGCCTTAGTAATGGAAGGGAAACATGTTTGTTATTTTGCAGTCATTAGCATTGGCATCAAGGCCAATTGGTAGTTCTAGGCCAATATTTTAAAATAAACTTTCAAATTGCTGGCATTTCAGGCATTGCAGATAAGTAGGTTTTCCCTCCATGGAGTCAATTCAGAGATTCATCAAAGAGCGGCTTTTTAGTATTTCGCATTTTGGAATTTTCTCTAGTTGTGCAAAATTCAAACGTTGCACAATTATGTTGCTCCTGGCATCTCAGGAAGTGTGTGGGGGAAAAGCAAATGAGATGTGAGGATGGCAGACTACCTATCCACAGTCCCTTTTCTTTTCTTTTTTTTTTTTTTTTAAAGATTTTATTTGACAGAGAGAGAGAGACAGCGAGA